ATCAAATATTGAAGAAAGTGTCTATCTACGTAAGAGCTATAAAAATTTAAAATTCTCTGGAGGAAAAAAGAACCTAATCTTATGCCTTCATCACATGATGATAACTTTCCTGATCCTACAGAACCTCTTCCATCTTGCATATTTTCAGACTGTCTTATCAACAGATATGATAAAATTATTAGTTGAATAAACAAATCTGTATAGTGCTCAACAAACAGGAACTTTTCTTATGGTGATGACAAATGAAATAGAGCAAGTAATTGGAATGATTATCAGAATGGGATTAGTCCATACACCTCATATTAGAAAATATTGAGAAGCGGGAATAAAGTATGAACCAAATTGCAGAAGTAATGTCTAGAAACAGATTTGAAAAAATCTTAAGACTTTTGTATATTGCGAATAATTCAAACTGATAATGATGTTAGAAGTCACAAATGCTGGAAAGTGTGACCGTGGTTGTCTAGACTTAGAGAACACATGCTATCCGTTCCAGGTGAGACCAAGCAGTATATTGATGAAACAATTCCATTTCGTGGAACAATCTATATCAAACAATATAAGCCTAAAAAACCTCATATCAAACGGGGTTTAAAAATATGGATCCAGTGTGGAAAATCAGGCATTTGTTATGATTTTGATGTTTACACTTTTGTTTGAAGGTTACTTATTGAGATCAAACTGCCTAGGTCATTAGGAGGAGGTGTTGTGATGCAAATATGCAGTACTCTAAATAACCCAACAAAAACTACTATCTTTGCTGGTAATGTTTTCTCTGGAATCCCATTCGTATGTGAATTATCCAAGAAAAATATAGGATTTGTAGGGACTTTTAGAGAAAACAGGCAAATGAAATGTAAATAAAAGAAAGAGAAGGATTTTAAAAAAGAAGGCTGAGCATCCATTGATTATTCTGTAGCATCTGTAAAGAATGCAGATATCATAGCTGTAAATATAAATATTGTAACTTTAAATATTTGTTTTTATATTATTTATTACTTTTAGGACCAAAGAACTGATTGTGTGCATCACTGGCCAGCATAATAATTCCATACGGGAAAGATGCCACATATGCTCTAAAGGAATATTTACTCAAGTTAAATGTGACAAATGTGAAAAATATCTTTTAACAAGGCCAGAAACTGTTTTTAGAGCTTATCATTTGTAAATAACTGTACATAAACTAAACGAAATTTTAAAAAAATGTGTTTGAAAATCACTTGATTTGTACCCTAATCTGCCTATCGTAGCATATTTGCTACCATTAAAAAAACATTAATATTTTTTTCACAATTTTTCACCACGTTTGCTTTATTTCACCTAAAATAACATTCTTTTAACTAACAAATAATTTTTTGTTTGGAAATTTCTTGTAGTGGGCATTAGAGGATTAATCCCATTGAAAATCTCTGGGATGCTCTCGGTCGTGCTGTATCTTCATGTTTCCCATCTAATTGAAAGCATGGTCACAAGGTGTAAACTTTGTATACAGATGAGGGAGGATCACATACCCTATTTAATGTTTAGATTGAACATTTATATTTGATCAAATTTTAAAAGCTTAAAGGTTTTATTGGGAATTCCTCGGCGACTCTGTTCCTGGCCCTTCCAGATGTTTTAATTCTTTGATTGTGTTATGTGTTCGTATGCTTGTTTATTGTGAGCTGTCTGTTTGTTTGTTGTTCTTCTTCCTTCTCTTTTTAGTTGTTATTAACAAAGCATTTTCCTGAGTTAGTTATGTTCTTCTCACTTTCCTTTAGTATGGGTGATATTCAGCTTTGTGACCTTTTATTGTAAGTTTACTTTATTTTTGGTTTCTTTAGATTAATGTTTTTCGTTGCCCGGACTCATGCTTTGGTCTCTCGGAACATTTCAATCTCACCTTTGGCTTTATGAGCAGATCTATATCAACCTTCTATCTTTAGGTTGTTCCGGCTCTTTATTATGTGAGGAGCCTCGGATTGCTGGTAGCCGTTGTTTTGGTTCTCATTTTGGGGGAAGACCTATACACGATCATACGGTCTTTAATAAGACTAGGTGGATCGGTCTCTCCTCGTATTTCACCCTATTAATGTCCTTTTCTTTCATTTTATGCTGTTTATTTTCACTTTAAAAATAATTCTGTTTAAGTCTCCAATATGTCATTATCTGATAACTTACCAAAATTTAATATTGTTTTCATTTCTGTATACAATTATTGATTTTGTTTTATGCATACTTTCCTGCAGAATTTTGTGTAAATCAAAGCAGTATTTGTTGATTTTTTTGCATTTTACATTTTCATGCTTAACTTTTGGAAGTGAGTGTATATTGAACACGACACTTTTTACAATAAACTAAAAAGGACTAAAAATCACATATGATATTCAAACAAGGATTTCAAGAACTATGAAATATTACAATTATTTCAAGAACTGAAATTAACAACTGAAAAATTTATGATCATTTTTATATTTTGAGGGGGGAGGGAATATATTACAAACTTTTAAAACTACACTGAAAATTTTAGTAAGAATATGAAGCTGGCAATCATTCATAAAAATGTTATAGTCAAACTATTATAATTATTTAAAAAATTATTTACATCCAATTTTATGATTTTTCTAACATTACATTCATTTTCACTCAATGCTCTAATGATTTTTTTCTAAGAAGGCATTTCTGACACCATATCTTTTCCTCTTTAAAAGGGGGGAGGGAATATGTACGATAAAAAATATGTACATCAGACTTATAACTTAAATTAACAGTAGTCCCTTAATTCTTCATTTTAATTTGTATATCTCTTCTCTGTTTTGAAAGTAGATTATTATAGACAATTGTCTATAATAATTTTGCTGGACTGCCATCTCTACATTAATCCATTTCATGCTTTCTTAGGTAATCCTGCTACAATGCAAAGAGCTCTTGTCCAATCAGCTTAATGAAACCTTTGACCACATATGTCATGCTTTACTGAAAGCACACTCCTTTTCTTACTTCACTTTGCTAACTGCTGCCCATTGTCCATTGTTTGAAAACATAAGATACAGAAAATTGCAAGGGTGCATATCATAACCATAAGGATGTGTGTATCGATATTGCACCTCTAGAATTGCTTTATCCAACAATAAAATTATGTTAAATTCGGCCATATATGCTTGTAAATGTCATCCTATGTATCTATACAGCTATTTTCTAATCATCATGCTATTTACAGAATTTATTACATGCATACGTTGTTTCTGCACAGAATATTTTTACAGATTTTTCTTATCTTTCCATATGCTGATATGTATATTAACTTTTCTGAAAATTCCTTTGTTTAAAAAATTTAATGTTAATAAATTTTGCAAAGATCTACCTGTTTATAACTTTCAGTCTGTGATTTTTTCTAGAAAGTAAATTTTTTAAAAATGTTTTTTCTCAGCAAAGAGTTTATTTTTGTCTCTAAATCTTGCTTAATTTTCATTTTGTTTTTAATCTTAGAATAACAATATCATTTTAAACACCTGTAACACTTTTCTTTAGTAGAAACAACACGTTCAATCCCAAGCCCCATTTAAATGTTTTAAAAAGTTCAGGCATGGATCAACAACTATGTTGGTAACCGAAATCTCACATACTGATGTTGGAAATGGGCTCGTTCCACGAATCCCTTTGCTGAATGGCTGTACACATTTCAGATCTTTCAACTTAAAGAACTTCGCAGAGTGATATTAAAAACAAATAAATAAAGAAAGACACCTCATGAGTATTTCTTGTGTAGGGATGCTTTCTGTGTGTCCCTTAATGTTTAACAATGGGATTTGGTGTGGATTTACAAGTCACATTGAATTTATGTTTCAATGGGGATTCAGAAGCTGCTAGATGCAGATTTTGTAATATGTTAATGAATACTTACATTTTTGACAAATGGATACACAGATAATTTGAACTTCATAAAATTTTTAGAAAACATAAAAGCAAAACTTCAGATTACATTAAAAATGAATGAAACTGAATACCTTCAATTTAAAACTCGTACTCAAAATTTAAATATTTCACATTACTATTTGCAAAAATAAAGTATGATCTAGGTACTCTAGTAGAGAAACTTGGGTCATATTTTCTACAACAGACAACATTAGATACCTATTATGGTATACTATTTACTGAATTTGAATTAGTGCATGGACACAAAGTTTCAGATGACTATTCAGACAAAACATTACAATGAATAGTTACATACTCATGTAGAAGTTTTCAGTCATTTTGAAGCCCGAAACATGAAAAATCATCTATATCCTTGTTGGGATTTGATAGTTGGTACTGCTAATAACTTAACCAACCTTGAAAGCACATACAGTCGAATGTGATAATTCTTTGCATTCTTAATCACTTAAAAACTACCCCAGTGGAGAATGAGAGTCAGGCAACCAAATCCAATTTATGATGACTTATCACCCCCTACATTTTGGTTTGAGCACCACAGGAGTGATTACCAGGCCTTTTTAAAACAGAAAACAAGAGAAAGTAATTGTTGTCCTCAATAAAATTCTAATCATAAATCTTCCAATGTGATAATAATTGACATTCTCCCTATTTAATTCTTATTCATATTCCTTAGACACAAAGCATTCAAAGAAATTATTTCATAGTTAATCAACTTTCTATGTGTCTTAATACCTATCCCTATACAGTTAAAATTACACTGTTTCTCAAATGCATGAGTGTATTAAAAATAACATTTTGACGCCATTTACGACTGATTCTATATTTTGTTCACATTTCTACTACACATTCAAAAAACTAAATCTCTTATATTTAAGAACCAGATCTACTTTACTTGTATGTGGAAGCAATTCAAAGCATTTCACTATGCATTCTGAATGAAAACTGCACTTTCACATCAAATAATAAGTAGGGTGAGAAAGAATTATGAGAAATCTGTGTAAGATTTCTAATGTTAGCACATTAAGAAATGCAGTGCTGAAGTGACGCAATTACTGTTAAATCTTTCTATGAATTATTAACTATACCTGGTTGCTACTCCAGACGAGTTCATATTTATTCTTCTTGTAGTAGCTTGTCTCTGATGGGATAAAAATGTCTGACCAATGCCACCTTGACTGAGACGTTCTTCAGCAACTCTCTTTTGTAGCTGAGCACCCTAGAATTAAGTAAGTGTAATTTATAGTAATAATAAGCAGCTAAACACTCACAAAGGACATTGACAGACCGTCAGAATACACTTCTGGGCACCCAAAATGCAATATGAAGAACAAGATATATTTCAGCAATTATACATAGTATCAATGTTGATTAATCTAAAATATAGCCTCCTTTAAGGTAAGGAAGATGAGAAAATTAGTAATGAGTATTGCCTCTACATTTGTCAATAACCATTGCTACACATCACAGCATTGAAAGAGGCTTTGGACGTGTTGTTGGGGAATAGCAGCTCATGCTGCCTCCACAAATAGCTGAAGTTCATCTGGTGTATCCACAGGTGTGGCATGCAGGGCTAGCCATTCTCCAATCATTGATCAGACATGTCCGATGAGTGACAGATCTGGAGAACGGTTAGTTCTGCATAAAATACAATATAGTGAGCTAAGGAGAAAGCTTTAACATTGACTACAACATCCTGTTGAAATGTGGCTGCAGACAAGCCCTGAAGGTAAGAAATGAGAAATGCTGCAAAACCTCAGAGATATAGAGCTGGCTGCAAGCGTGGGAATAATATGTATTAGGTAGGTGCGAGAGTGGAATCCAATAACATCCCACACCATAACATCAGGTGTAGGATCAGTATCATGATGCATAACACAACAGTTGAGCAACCTCTCTCCATAGTACCTTCAAACTCTAATTTGATCATCATGGTACTGCAAGCAAAAACATAATTCGTCTGAAAATGCGATGCTATGATATTTGGATGTCCATCTCTGCTGTTCAGTGCACCACTACTAACACAAACACCTGTGTATTAAAAGTAAACCAAGCAATAGACGCCTAGCGAACGGTTCATTGTACTGTAAACAATGTATAACTGTTCGTGCATACACAGTAAACCAAGCAATGGATGCCTAGCGAACGGTTCATTGTACTGTAAACAATGTCGAACTGTTCGTGCATACACTGATTGAGGCATTAAAACTGTTCCATCAGTGCCATGCACACAGTATGGCTGTCTTCTCATTAAGTGATGCAACAAGGCATCCTAGTTGTTCACTTCTGCATCTACTACTTAAATATTTGCACAGTTATTGCTTGGCTACATTCAACATAGCTGATTTCCCGGAAATATAATCCACAATACCTATATGCAATAATTCTGCCCAGTCAAACTCAGAAACCTACTGTGACAAGGTCACATTGAATTAATTATTTACTACGTTATGGCAATATTTAGATATTTGCATCAGATTCCATTGGCGACAGTTCCCTTTTTTTGCCAACTTGTGTTGTAAGGTGAGGAACAGACTTCATCAGATAACTGTTGTAAGCGCAGGAAAGTCTTGCGTCAGACAACTAGCGTCTTCATTCTTGCCTTTAGCTAAGTATTTTAGATTGTTATTTTGAATTTTTTCATCCCAAAATCTGAACAAAAAGGCTATTTTTTCCCAGAGAAGATTGATTGAAGGGCGGTGATCCTGATACGTTCGCTGTTCAAGCGATTAAAAATATAACTCTAATAATTGGAATGATAAAGTTGCACTATTATATCTGAAAAGTAAACTTGTTGGTGCTGCACAGCAGTTCTTTGCAGAATCGCCTGCTTGTCAAAATGTGACTTCCCTAGACGAGGCTTGTGAAAAACTGATAAATTTCTTTTCGAAGGATTCTAACTCTTCATCTAATTTAATTGCTTTCCAGACCATTCAGCTGTTACCTGGTGAGTCAATGAAAAGTCTTGCTCATCGCATTGAAACTTTGGCTCATGCTACATACAACCATGTTCAAAATAGCAAAGCATTGAACCAAATAAAATCTTTGCAGTTTCTAGCTGCTTTACCAATAGAACTCAAAGAAAAATTAATTAGTGAATCTACAGATAATTTTGATCAGCTTGTGAATTTAGCTCAGCAACATCATTCTAATTCGCAAAATTTGAAAATAATGCAAACACATTCCATTGCTTTGAATAGCAAAGATGATGCTATTGAGAGTTTAAAAAGTCAAGTTGAAAACCTCAGTCTTCAAATTGCATTACAGAATGAAAAATGTCAGTTTTGTAATTTAGATAAGCATCCCTTAAATCAATGTAATGCTGTTTTGTCTTTACGGACAAGTAATCCCACACATGCTCAAGATGCAAATGACCACTGTGTAAATTGGATGCAAGAAACTCCCATATATCCTCCATATCCACTTCCATGCTTATACTGTCATAAATTTGGACATTCAATGTCAGTATGTCGTGCGTATTTGGCGATGTGTAGCCCTCGTCAGAACCAGGTTAGAAGTTCGAGTAACTATGTTAGCAGTCGTCCTAATCTCACTAGACCACAGTTCTATAGCAATAGTACGCGACAAGGTGATAACTCAAATGTTAACAGATTTCCATCTTATGGTCGGAGACCAAATTATTATAATCAGCCAAGATACAGTACCCCTTTAAACGCAAGGGGAGTTCACAAGTAGGTGGCGATGTGACCTCTAATGTTTCAACCAAGTCACCAAAAACCAACTATCATACGAGCAAAGAATCGGAGAGTATTGAAACATATTTAAATAAGCAAATGATAATCAGTGGTAAACCCTCGAGTTCTATCAAAGAGTTTTTGCAACAATTTCATGTCAAAAGTAAAAGTAATTGTTTACCTATTGCGCATATAAATAATGTCTTTTCTGATTGTACTCTTCCTTTGATTCATGTAACATTTGGTAAAAATTTGTGCACTTTATTACTTGATTCAGGAAGTTCTGTGTCATTGTTTGATACAATAAGATTGGATACTAAAGTTAGATTTTTATCCAGACATGTTCAAATTAAAACTATCAATTCCAATTTACATTTTTCAGCCTGTGCAGAAATATCATTTAAGATAAACAAGCAGCATTTTAAACACGCCTTTTATGTATCTGATGCTTTTCAACAAAATTTTCATGGAATTTTAGGTTATGATGACTTTTTATCCAAACATGATGTCTTAATATGTGCTAAAAGTGCAGTTGCAAAATTTAATAATTTTGATGTACCTCTAATTAATATGGCTAATGTAAAAAATTATAATTGTAATCCTGTACCTTCAGAATGTTATGCAATTTTGAAACACAAAATTATGTTAGATCCTGGAGAATCGACAATTGCGCACTTAAGAGTCAATAGTCCTCATGCTAACAATCAACCTGTCCTTTTTCAACAACCAACTGTAAGTAAACACGATATTGAATTGCATCCTGCGATCCACACTCTAAACGACAATTCCTTCATTACTGTCATCAAAAATATTGGTTCGAACAATGTTCATATAAAACAAAAATCAGAAGCTAGGTCAAGTCACATCTGATATTGAATTTGCTGAGACCATACCTGATTCTGTAAATTCGGATACTCCTCAAAATGAGTATTGCAATCTTATAACTCCATCAAAAGAGGTTTTAGAAATAAGGAGACAAGAATTGTTACCAACTGACTTTGATCTTAACCATCTTTCTCCTGAACAAAGGCAGTGTTTATTGGAGTTAATCTCTAATTATGCAGCTTTTTCCAAATCTTTAAAATCACTTGGCTGCACTGATAGGGTAACCCCACAAATTTGTTTTAGGTCTTCGAATCCCATTAGGACCCTCCCTTTTGAAATTCCTTATTCATTGCAATCCCAAGTTAAAGAAGATCTTCAGGAATTGCAGGAAGCTGGTTTAATTCATCGAAATGTTGCTGAATGGGCTTGTCCCATGCTGTTAGTAAAAAAGAAGCCAGATCCCAAATACCCTAATAATCCACCCAAATACCGCATGGCTCTTGATTTAAGATTGCTTAATTCTATTATTGAACATTCAACATATCCTCTTCCAAAGATTTCAACGCTTATAAACAACATCTCCACTTACAAGTACTATTCAGTACTTGACTTAAAAAATGCTTATTGGCAAATTAAACTTCCCGATCACTTGCAGGATGTGTTAACATTTACTACACCTTTTGGATCCTTTGCTAATAGAAGGCTAGTTTTTGGCTTAAAGACTGCCGCCAGTACTTTTCAAGCTTTAGTGGATACGCTTATTGATGAACTAAAAATGGACGGCATCGTAGGTGTGCATGCATATCAGGATGATATTGTAATAGGTGCTTCTGACTTTGATGATATGATGATGACTAAGTTGACTGCAGTATTGAAACTTTTATCTAAGTATAACATAACACTGTCTCCTACAAAATGTGTCTTTTTCAAAACAGCTATAGATTATTTAGGATTTCACATCTCTCATAACTTAATTAAACCCATTTCAACTAATATTGCTAAGATCACTAACTTTCAACCACCTAAGACTGTCCGCCAGGTCAGAAAATTTCTAGGCCTTTGTGGTTTCTATAGGCATCTCATACCAAATTATGCCGAACTTACTGATATTTTGACACAATTGACCAGTAAGAAGAATAAATTTAAATGGACTGATGCGCATAGCGTTGCATTTGAGAAACTTCAGCATATATTCTTTTCTGAACCTTTTGTTATCTTACCACAATGGGACAAGGAATTTATACTGAATACTGATGCCAGTGGTCATGCTATTTCGGGAGTTCTTCTGCAGGAACACAACAATGAATTGCATCCTGTGTCATATTATAGTCGAACATTGTCACCATCTGAAAGAAAATACCCAGCTATAAAATTGGAACTTTATGCCATTTATCGGTCTGTTACTGCTTTCAAATCATATTTATATAATCGAAAGTTTACAATTTTGACTGATAGTAAACCTCTGTTGCATTATCAAAAATCTACGTCACCTGCTGACAACACGACTAGGTGGCTTATGGAGTTAAGTGAATATACTTTTGAATTTAAGCACATTCCTGGAAAATTAAATTCTCTAGCTGATTACATGTCACGTATGCAAGATCCTGATCATAATCAGCCAGTGTTGGCTGAAAACTCTGAAGATAACTCAGTTATTCTTCCGTTTGTTGAAACAAATCTTGAACGACCCCAAGTGAAT